CTCTCTCTCTCTCTCTCTCTCTCTCTCTTTTGAAATCTTTTGAATTTTTTTCGAAACTTTTGAAATTTTGGTTTCACAAAAAAAAAAAAAAAAGAAAAGAAAACGCTTTCATAACTTTGTTTCTTTACACGGTAAATAAAAGGAAGTCTGATATATTTGTAAATGTTCATTGTTCTCAGGCGTTTATGTTAATTAGTTTGATATCGCTTTAACAAGTTCAAATGTTCTTTTATAATTGAATGCTTATATTATACGTATCTTTATTCCTCGCTGTATTTTCATTTCATGAATATTTATATATATATATATATATGAATATATATACATAATAATATAAGTTGAAATTTTTTGTACAATATCCTAAAGCAGACAACACATGAACAATACTTTAAAATATAAATAATAATACTATATAATCCTACATAATAGATAGTAGATAGTAGATAATAGATAGCAAATAAAAGTTCCAAAACTATATTTCATAAACAATACATAAACAATACTTAGATACAATAGAAATTACAGTCTTCTAGACGTCTTCAAGCGTGACTTCATCAGAAGGAATGTAACAATACGACGCCTAAAAAGAAATAGCATATTTTAAACAAAAAATTTAATTATAAGAAGAATTGCCCATCTTGAATGAATATCTAAAGGGGTAGCCCAAGGAAGGTTACAAGGAAAGGATTTGGAGGACAAAGAGGCAGAGTCAAAAAATTACAGTCTTATATAGTCATTCAAGCAGTAAAAAATTAGAGTACAATCGTTCAAATCAGATTAATCATTTGAGGAGCCATAAGGTTCAATACATAATAAATTCAAGTGTATCAAAATTTTATTTTCATTCTCACATCAGTGAGTGGTCCTTTGTGTACGTATATGTGTGTGTATAAATATGCGTGCGTGTGTGTGTATGCATCGATATGACAAAGAAGCGGCTCTCTTTAAGGATCGATATTACCACATATCATTGATTGACTGACAAGCATAGACAGGACATCCAATGTTTTTTGTGTTCCACGTTTCGGGTGTCACCTGACCCCTTACCATTTTCGTGTCACATCCTGTCATATCGACTTAAGCAAGTATTGCAAGTTATCAATGAAAAGATGACATTTTCCAAGTTGCATCATTTTGTTTGACGTAGTTCTCCAATTCACCGTTGTTTAAGCATAGAGGGCGCTAAAAATCGGTGATTTTTTTTTTTCCTGGTCGGTATTTCAGAACCTGGAACACGAAACTCCATTTGATGTCCGGTCTATGCACGTATAGATACGTAGTTTATAGGGTAGCCAGGAACGAGTAGAATGCTTGACGACGTAATGCACAAGTTGGTTTGATTTTCCGCCTCGCCTTGGCCGGAAGGAAAGGTGGAAGCTCTCACGAGGGCAACCACCCCTGTTCCAAAGAACAATTCATAACTTTATCGTCATCGATTCTTATCTCTTTAAGTGGCCGTTCATTCTGCCTTTTCTTTTCCACTGTGTTACGAACATATTTGTTCACGACGTGCAACGTATTATTTATATATTCATATATTTCTCGTATTATTATATCTCTCATATTAACTCCATTGATTTGGACTTGGGTTTGTTTGAAAAATTTCTGAAATTACTGAAAATACTCGAGCTACTTTCTAATTTCTTTCTAGTACAACTCTAACTTCTGACGGTAATAATTCTGAATTGAGGCAAATTCTGTTTGTTTATTTGTTCGTCGTGTGCATTGTCTATAATATGTGTAATCGCTAATCAGATATTAAAAATTTGAAGTCCAATGATGCAAATTAATTGAAAAGAATTAATTGAAAATGTAATGTTGCGTTAATTAGTTAGATTTGTTTTTATACTATTATAAAATGCTCTATATTATTATAAAATAATACTGGTCTAACTAATTATTAATTACAATAGTACATGTTACATTAAATTATTACATCACATTGTTTAATATTAACATACATTACATTACATTATTAATATTTATTACATTTAATATTATCATGTACAATCTGTAATACTACACTCATAATTATACATTACAAATTTTGCACAGAGATTCACAGTCCACTTACAATACTATCAAACGTTATTAACGATAATTTTCTTTTGCTTTTTGCAGAAAGAAACGTGGCGTTCTAGAATACTTGGACTTGTGCACGGATCCTCCCGTCTCTTTGCACGCATCTTGTTACACGAGAATGCCCTCGTACACGCAATCGGCGTGCGATTGCTATTGCAGAACTCGCGTGCCGATAGCCCGGCGAAGGGAGGAAATTCAATCCGAAAGAAGTCGCGCCAGAGGGTCCAGGAGCTCGGTTCTTAAAATGGCAACTGCCAGAAATGCTGCTAAAAGAGTTCCATTGATCGCCGCGAAAGTCGTTAGCGACGAGCAGGTATTGCATATATGTAGTGATAACACGAATATATCAAAATCGATTGAAAACAATGAAAAGCGATGAACAATAACGTGATACGAGATTGACGAAAGTGTAATAAATAATAATGAAAATGATCAAAATAATGATAATAAAATGATATATAAATTTTATTATTATTTATATTATATACTTTACATTATATTATTATGTTATTTTAATACCTAAATAGCAATACATTATATAATGTTAGGTATATTTAATACCTAATATTAGAATTAAAATGGTAATATTAGGTATAAAATTAAAATTAATATTAGAATTAATTAGAATTAAAATAGTAGTAATAGTAGAATAAAATAGTAATATAATATCCTATAATACCCTAATATTAGAATTAAAATAGTAATATTAGGTATATTTAATAAAAAGTAATATACTTTACATTATATTATGTATTATTTTAATACCTAATAAAATAATATAAATAACGTATTACATATTATTATATGTTATTTATATTGTTTTATCAGGTATTAAAATAATAGAATTGGCGATGAATATGAATATCAAAATCGATTGAAAGAATGAAAAACAATAACTTGTTACAAGATTGACGAAAATAATAATAAATAATAAATAAGAATAATGACAATAATACGATACAATATAATAATAATATAAAATAATAATAATACAATATAATATGAAAATAATATAGAATTGATCAGGACAGATAATAAAATTGATCAGAATGTTGATATTTAATAAAATTTAAATGAGATAATCTAGAAATTTGTTTAAGATGATTTCACTGAATTCATTGAGGCTCTTTGACTTCAATGGAAGATACAGAGATCATTTGATAGAGAAAGGAGACTATAATATTGTTTCGTTTCCTAGCTTGACAGCAAGAGATCCACCGTGACGCTTCCTGTTTCCCCAGTTCTCAGTCCAGGAACAACGGCGACCCTCGAGAATGTAGAGAAACTGATTAAAGACGCAGAGATTCAGATGAAGGAAATAAGTATGACCGCCAGCTGCAGTCGTTTCCAAAACTCCATAAATGTGTGAGTGTTTCAATCAAGCATGTGCCACTTACTAACATGCACCCATTTCGAGAAAGCGGACGAGTATACTCGTCGCGTGAAAAAAGTAAAATACTTGTGTGTAGTTTCAATTCAATGGTTTAGTTACAATTTAATTAACTTTCAAATTCGAATTTATGTTACCGTGTATATACGAATTATAGCGGTTACTGCACGACGAGTTAACTCGCCATCTCCTCCAAAATTTCACCACGGTCCCCTCTTTCTTTATTTCTCCCCTTTAGAAAAATGTCCTCTCTCATCCTTCTGTCATCCATATTTTTAACAAAAATCAATACGTATTAACGCAACTCTATTTTCAGACGTCCAGACGAGGCGACGTTCGACGACGAGAACGATCAATTGCTATACATACGCGAGTGTGTCGCTTATAAATTCCAAGAGGCGAACGGCTTGATCGATACAGCCTGCGGGAACAACCATCGAAGGTTCAACAACGAAGAACGTGACGCGATCGAGCCAACCAGCAAAAGACTCGTCGATCTCTCAGCCCCGAAATTCCAAACCTCTGAAGACCGTTACGAGAAATACTCGCGACAGAGGAGACTGGATATTCAGAAGTTGGGACTTGCTTCATCTTACTCGATAGACGACCCGCCTATCGGCGATGACGAGACAGTAAAGAAAATGGACGATCGAGCGCGCTCTCCGCTCGGAAAAGAAACGGGGAGAGACGCGAGAATGGATGTGTTTTCAGTTCGCACGGGCCCGTCGGTGAACATCAAAGGGGACCTAGTCGCCCAAAATGTAGGAAACATTCACATCCCGCCAGATCCAAGTTTCACTCGGGAAAATCAGAACGTCGGGACTTACGTGGTTCGTCACGAGTTTCATCGCGCGAAGAACGAGTGTTCGGGGAGGCGGGAGAAGATCGCGAGGATAACGGAAGAGGATGCGAAAGATGCTGAAAAATCGAAGAAGAGAAATACCGAGTCTAACGATGTAGCGCGTGTCCCTGAAAAGTCGGAGAGGTCAGGATCTGCTGATGTTTTAACAAATATCGAGAAGCTAGATAAAAATGTGGAGAACGTATGCGAAACAGAGAGTTCTTCGATGAAAGATTCTGAAAACGGGAAGAATTTCGAGTCGACGAACTTCTGTCACGACGGAAGCGTGCCGAGAGAAAATCTGGAAGTACCGGCGCGAGGAATTTCGAACGACAGTGTCGCGAGTGGAACACTCGAACAACAAGAGGCTGTCAAAATAACTTTCAAAAGCGAACAGAAACAGGTGAGATTCGAGGAGAGCAACGAACTCCTTCGAAAGGAGAAAACCGTGAATCCATTGGGAACAGAGTGTCGTAAAAATCGGCTAGAAACAGAAGAAGCTACGAGAATCTTGGAAGCGAAGAATCTAAGAACACGTTCAACGCCCATCGAGTTGGAAGCTCGGCGAATTGCGAACGATAAGACCGAACAATATGAATATTCTTCGAAGCAGTTGAAAGCTAATGACGAACACACTCCGTTGTCGAGTAGAGAAATAGCGGAGAAACATAAAAGAAATACAGAAAAACACAGAGAGATCCGTGAAGATCGATACAGAGAAATAGACGAACGTTTTGCAAATATTGTTCGAACGCATTGCGACAGGGACGAGG